GAAAAAGGCATCAAAGGAAGGTTGCTGGGATGGATCTAGAACTACCTCACACAGAGAGAAGCAAGAGTACGCTTTCAGGGAGCAACCTCAAGCTATAGGGTCCATGAAAACGGAACCCCACAAGGAGGCATCCTCAGTCCAATGCTGCTCAATGTCCTGATGGAAAATCTTGTCAAACTTCCTTTCAGACAAACAGCCAAGCTCCTATGCTACGCAGACGACTTACAGCTTATAGTAAGAGGATCGAACAGACTAGCCAACACGCAACACGCACTCCAACTTATAGAAGAGGAGTGCAACAGACTTGGCCTCAAGATAAATCCAGCCAAGTCGAAAGCGATGGCCATCTGCACAGACACACCAGACAAGATGCTCTCCATACAAAACACGCCGGTAGTCTGGACCAACACCCACCAGTGTCTTGGAATCTGGTTTGACCAGAAACTCACCTTCAAGCCGCAACTCGAGTATCTCAGGCACAGGACGAAGAGCAGACACAATATAATGAGGTCGCTCACCAGCACAACCGCAGGAGCAAACCTTCATGTGCTCAAAGCCTACTACACGGCCGCCATCAGATCGCTGGTAGATTACAGTGCTCCAGCACTCATTGGACTGAGAGAAGACCAAATAGCTAAGCTAGAAGTTATCCAAAATAATGCTCTCAGGACCATGCTCGGAGCACCCATGTGGACCAGAATTTGCAATTTGCAAATGGAAACCGAACTACCACCCCTGGCAGTACGAGTCAAGCAGGTGACAGCCGGTCTCCTCGCCAAAATCTGTAGATCAGATAAGTCCACAGCTGCCAAAACGCGAATCAGTGCCTCCCTCCACCTCGACCACAGAGAGCGAGGGGCCACCTGGTTGCACGAGGCAAGCGAGGTCATCCGACACCTGCAAGCAGAAACACTCGTCAAGAACAACTAAGACACACGAGACAATGGTTACGTAGTTCCTCCACCATGGAGCCCTCCACCAGCCACATTCAAAATCACCGAACTAGGTGATAGCAAAGCGAACCTCCAGAAGGAGGATCTCAAAAAAATAACTCTGGAAGCCATAGCCACCGAGACACCGGCTGATGCAGCATCATACTTCACAGACGGCTCAGTGGATCCAAAACATCATACATCCGGAGCGGCCTTCTACACCCAAGGTCAGACCCTCCGATGGAGACTTTCTAATGACTGCTCCACCCTACAAACAGAGCTGGTAGCAATCTCAAAGGCCCTACAACACGCTGCAACACAACACAACAAGTCCATCATAATTCACACGGACTCGAAATCGGCAATGCAGGCGCTGCAACACAGCCAACCAAGAGACAACGTCCACATCATTACCTCGATCCTCGCACAGCTACAGGAATTCCAAAGACAAAACCGCCCAGTCGTCTTACACTGGATTCCCAGTCATGTAGGGATCGGGGGAAACGACGTGGCAGACGAAGCAGCCAAGGCAGCCACACGTTCAAGTAGCGTACACATTCAAGTTCCAGCAAGCGTGAAACAGATCAAGAATCACCTCAGGAAGACTAGCAAGCTCCACATCCAAAAGAGCTTCCTTCACGCATTCAACGCTGGTTCCCAATCAGCCAAATGGTACCTGGCGGCTACAAAAGGGGAACCACCTTTCGCGGACAAGGGAACACCAAGACAAACCCAAGTTAGCCTTCATCGACTACGACTAGGGTACAAGTGCTCCTGGCAGATGATCGGAAATGACGTCATGGAATGCACCTACTGTCAGGAGCCAGTGGCCAACCCACTTGAACACTATCTCCTCGACTGCGAAGTCACACAAAGTCTCCGAAACAGAACTCAAAACTTCCAAGAAGCACACACAACACCAGCGGCCACTCTAACCCGAAAGGCCCAAACAAACCACATTCACGACCTTCTACGGGTCATCACACGATACCCACCACCCAGTTAGCTCAGGAAGTATCCTCCCCCAGCAAGTGCGGACCTCAGTTCGGGGGGCGAGCCACTCCGAAACTGACCACGTCCAAGAGTTGGGGTTGGTGGTAAGCGTCCACTGATCAGGGGTCCGCTCACACTTGCAACCTGCAGTATCCTTCCATATCTGCAGGTAGGACAACCTCCAATCCCAATCCGGTCTGGCTGCTCCAGGAGCTCCAGCCGGAACCACCAAACGGGCCGCGTATATGCAAAGGCCCGTGTCGGACTACGGTCCGACAATCTCAACAACAACAACAACAACGTGAAGGGGATTCTACTCAGCGCTGTCAAACAGACTAGACCTCCTCTCAACAAGCTCCTCACCACAAAGCAACTCCCTGGCACTGCATTGTACATATAATATATTATATAGAAAACGCCATTGTGAGTTCCCTTCTCACCTCCATCCTAATGAGATCGAACACCACGTTAACCCCACACAACATTGTGGCGAAGAGAAAGGGAACAAAGATTATCAGCTAAAGGAGGAGAGTTAATAAGACGAAATTTCTTTGATTCCATCCTATCTAACAGTTGGACAGAAGAAGAGCCACCCCAGATATGAAAGCAGTACTCCAAGTTAGGACGAATGAATCCCTTATATACTTGAAGCAGCTGCTCAGGAGTGAAGTAGCTATGGCATCTGTACAGCATTTCCAGCTTTTGGGGGGCAGCTTTAGCAATGTTGAGGATATGTGGTTTCCATGACATACATGTATTAGAGGAAATGGTGAGACCTAGCATATCTATTTTAGAATTTGGCAGAATGAAGAGGATAAAAGAAACGGAAAAGTAACAGAGACGTGACCGATCACCCAAGCGGCGAACGAGCCGATCAGTGGTGAAGAGGATAAAAGTAAAAAAGAAATGTGATTGGTGGGAGATCATCTAATTTGGAAAGTGTAATTGGTAAATACCGAGTTTTATTACTATTGAATTTAGCCAAGTTTCTACCTCCCCATTCGGAGATGCTATACAGATCCGCATTAATAGATGTTGTAATGGATACTCTCCCCTACAACTGCCACTACCATTAGTCGCTAATCAGCCGATCCCGCAATGAAGTTTCTTTGACAAGCCTAACCGTCTAGACTAAGGAGGGGGGGGGGGGTCGACACCGGCGACGCTTACTTCCGGTGGACGTGTATATAAGCTCCCAGCCTCGCCGTTGAAGTCCAATCTACCTAGAGCTCTGCAACACAACACCTCTAAAGAAGCTCCTGCACAGCAACTCCTCTACCACGCACCAACTTCCCAGCCCCAGACTGTTTTGTATATAATATATTTATATAAGAAAACCGCCATAGCTGAGTCTCCCTTCTCACCTCCATCCTCTGTGCGATTCAACATCACGAAACCCCACAATGTAATGATATCAGCTCCAGAAACAGATCGGTCCTCAAGGAAGCTAGAAATATGACGTTAACATAGTATAAACTTAACCTAAAATAAGGTTGACATAATGTAATCTTAACATAACCATATCTGACATGACCTTAACCAAACCTAACCAATTATATGATTAATAGATAGATAAATATTATTATGACCAAGGAACGTGATAACGGACCACCTGAAGATTAGTCAACCCAGCTTAATTCATCTGGATTAGGCACTCCAACACATACACACACATATGCAATAACGGTTTATAATCAGTGTTACTGTGATGTTTTGAAACGCTATTTAAAAGTTTTATTTTTTACTTATGTTGCCACGTTGTTATGCAGCATTAATCAAAAACTGTCATCTGAACTTTATAATTATCTCTAGAAAAATGTTGCAATATTTCCGCATTTTTATTATTGAAAAGTTTTCCATAACTAATATACAACTTTCTAGAGACGTTGCAATTGCTTTATGTGTTAGCTGGGTTGAACTTCCGATGACCATGATCCTGACTTCCCAAAGGTAAGATTTGGTGCAGATGGTGATGAGATAAGTGGCTTCAATCATCGTCACCGCCCCCAAAATTATTATTATTATTATTTTTTTTGGGGGGGGGTATTGAAATTGTAGTGGATTTCTCCCCTACAAACGCTGTTTGTCGCTGAGTAGCCGACCCCGCGAATTTCCCAGTGTGTGCCTCGTGGTCTAGGTCAACCAGCGCCGCCGTACATGACGGAGGTCAACTATCTACCCACGCCTACCTCCGCTATAAAAGACCTGACCTCGTGGTGACCTCTCTTTTTTCTACCTACGCTAACCAGCAAGCAACACCTCCTCCTCCTCCGCCTGCCTGGCGGCCCTCGCTCCCGCCGGCGAGCATGGCGACCCACAGGCTGGTCCTCCTCTGAGCATCCTCACCAACCAGCTCTCTCTACATCACGCTTGTAACCACGCTGCCACTTCCCAGCACCAAGCTGCATTGTACATCCAATACAACATGTATACAGAGAGCACATTGTGAGTTTCCTTTCTCCGTCCCATCCTGAGTGTGAACCAAACATCACATAACCCCACAAAATGATCCTGTATGAGTGTGTATGAACCATCGCCAATACGTAGCGCTAGGGTCATGCATTGACCAAGTTTAAATCATTATTTTCTTCTCTTGTTAAAAATATTTTCCTAATGAGTTTAATTCCCCTTAATTAAGAACTTTATCTTATTATTATAATCCTTAATTAAATGTCATAGTGATGGATAATGTAAAAGTTAAGACTTAATGCGCGGCATTTATTATGTACTGAAGTATTTTTGTTGTGTCACTTCCAGTTAATATAATCTATCTATCTATCTATCTTTCTATCTATGTGTCTATCCATCTATCTATCCATCTATCTATCTATATAGCTATCTATCCATCTATCTATCTATATAGCTATCTATCTTTCTATCTATCCATCTATCTATCCATCTATCTATCTATATAGCTATCTATCCATATATCTGTCTATATAGCTATCTATCCATCTATCTATCCATCTATCTATCTATCTATCTCTCTATCCCTCCATCTATCCCTCCATCTATCAGGCCCTCGACAGTACTACGCGGTATTAGAGAAAATGGAGAGTTGTGACGTCACCGGAAGTCCCTTGAGCCGCCATGTTTGTTGTCATGCGAGACTGGCTTTGTTTACTACCCAAAGTTTGTTCCTCTCACACCCTTATTTTAGACACACCTGAGCCATATTTAAGCGCTTCGGGTGAGGAAAATGAGTGTATGAATTGAAAGGATCAGAGAAGGAGGCGGTAGAGAATGTAAACCGCCCCCATGTTGAAATATTGAACCGATTTGTGTCAATAATCGTGAGTTAGTCTTCTGGTGGCTCAATAATAATAATTCCAGGAAAATTATTGAACTTTACACTTCCTTATTATCAATGAAACTTAAAATAAATTAATACTTTTTGCTAATATTAACTTGAGAATAGTGATTGAGAGAGATGTAACAGTGAGTAGTTAAAGACCCCGAGTGATGTGTAATGTAATATTTCCGACTGCTTTATTAAGAAAGTAATAAAGATAATTAAGTTCTATGTAAGGGAAATATTAAGTGTGATATTTGGCCTGGAGAATATATTTTTATTCCCTGATGGTTGGTTGAGGTGTGAGGCTGAGTGAGTCACTTTCTCTACCAGTCTGGATCTGTACCTCTCAGGCGAGTATATTATATTATCACTATTATCTACATTACTGTACCACCTATGACAAATAACCTTAGAATAATGTCTTTTTATTTTTATTTCAGGAGGTTATTTATTGGTTATATTGAGCAACATTATTGTTTGTATTCCAGTGTAGCATTCTCAGAGGTCCCCCCATACTCAGAGGGCCAATTCAATATAATGTGCATGTACAAAAGTCTAGATTATTTTGTCAGCATGGTTAATATCAGAAGAAATAATGGGAATTGAACCAAATTTTGTGGAGACAGATATCATGATCCTGAACACAAAAATGGAAGCAAGAATGCACAGAACCTGACCTAACATCTATTTTCGTGTTTAGGATCATGATATTAGTCTTTCCACATAGTATCGTTCAATTTAAGGTTAATATTCATCTATTGGCTGGCCACAGGTTCCACATGTTTACCTGAGGCTATACTCCTCACTTAGTCACTTTTCTCCTCCTTCTTGGTTAAGTTAGGTAGCTTGGCTCCTTTGGTATAAGAATAGGTTATTTTTGGTGTTTTACTCAGATCTGGTCTATATTTTTGTGCTAATTAGCAGTTTATGTTAAAAATGAAAATACAATTTTTTGCAAAATCTGCTAATTTGCACAAGAAATGAAGGTCAGATATGAGTAAAACACCCAAAAAAACATATTCTTGTACCAAAACTTGAGGACAGCCAATGGACGAATATTTACCAATTTATTTAGCTTTTTCTGATGTTGTGTTGACATTAAAATCTAGACTTTTGTGCATGTGCATTACTATATACAACGGTCCCTCTGAGAATGCTACAATGGTCGGCCAGGATTGTCCAAATACGTACTGTAGACCAATTTGTAGATGTGTTTTGTGTGTTTCTCTTGCATTTATTTTTTGTAATTCTAAGTGTTTTTAAATGTAGGTAGACTGAAATTATTGTTGTGTTCCATGGAATGAACTGTCGATCATCTTTACTCACTCAAGTTATATGACGGCACGGACGGTAATAGTTTGGAGTGGTCTCAGGTTAACCAACAACTTTAGAACTACGGTATTAAATGAAATTCTTTCTTAACTCAAGGATATCCCAAAAGAAGCAGAGGAATTGCAGTTTTCTTGGTAATATTTTGGCAATTATTTTTATCATCTTCAGTGCAAGTCTGCATTAACTCACAAGACCTATCAGTAATACCATATTGTCTGTTTATATTTTCTAGATCAGATAAACCAACCTATCTTAGGATGCCAGCACAGTACAGTATATTATTTTAGGTTAATTTACGCTTGTTAGGTTTGGTTTGGAAAAGTGACTGGGAAGCGTTATGTTGCGGTGTCCTCTGGTGGATGGAGCATATACAGTATACAGTATATTTATTTATAACGAACTGGAGAAAGCAAAATTATAAATTATTGCAATTCCTTCACCGGTTATGGTATATTTTTGAGGTAAGAAACAAGTTAGTTATTTTCTACAGTAGCTACAGTATTTGGGTTATTCTTGCCACTGTTATTGCTATGTGAACATGCTGGACCAATATGAACTTTATGACAAATTTACATGATGTCTCACTCATACAGTATGATTTTACTGGATATCAATTTGTCTGATATAGTATAACAACTTCAACACCTTAGTAATGGTTGTCTTTTTAAAGATTTGTTTTGGTGCTTTATGAGAAGTACAGTTTATAAATCTTGTTAAAATTTAATACGAATAGGCTGCATTACCAGTGATGACAAAATAGTCTTACAGGCTGTTTTGGGCTATTTTGCTGGTCTATTGTTTAGGTAGCTAATAGAAATACAGTCTGTCCTCGACTTACGATGGGGTTCCGTCCCGACGACCAGGTCGTAAGTTGAAAAGGCGAAAATAATATACATAGAAATTCTAAAATGGGTGTCTCTTTTTCTTCTCAGCACCACGAGAATTCTCACTTTTACGCTTGCCAGCCATTTTAAAGGGAATTACAAACGAAAAAAATTTTAGTACACAGCGCGATCACTAATGTCAGGACTCGAAAATACGTAATTTGAAAAATATTTTATACGACCACGGTGGTCGTATGTCTGGGTTGTCGTAAGTCGAGGAGTACCTGTAATGATATACATGTAATAGTGTTTATTGTATTATGGAAAGAAAAAAATTCTTATGACAGTAGCTATTTACAAAAAGTTGTTTATTAGATTTATACATTATTCTAAACGAGGGATAATGAGGAATTATATCCGTGGAGATGGCATGTAATTGTGTAACCGACTCACCACCCAGTAAAACTCAGAGCAGGTGAAGCTAAGCTGAGGGTTAATTTATTGTAGAGGACATACTGTAAATGGAAATAGGGTTTTTTGTATGTGTTTAATGATAATTTCAGACAATAACAAGAAAATTTCTTACACTCTTAGTGCATTTTACTCATAACCAAGATTTTGCAAGTTAAAAAAAATAGTACAGTACTGTACTAAAAAAATTCTAAGCGGTGGCGAGAAATGGCGGGATTGTTTTGTGCTTAATGATAATTTCAGACAAAAACAAGATGATTTTCTTCTATGACACTTGAAAAGCATTTTATCTATAGCTAACCGAGATATTGTGAGTTGAAAATCAGAAAACTACTAGAAAAGGTAGCTATTGCAGTATAGTACAGTAAACCCTCACTATCTCGGCACATATAGGGTTCTGCCCTTGCCGAGTTATCCCAAATTCTGACTTATTGAGGCACTTCCTCCCCCTCTCGTACAAAAATACAACAATAAAAGATTATCGACCCATATAGTATGTGTACAATCAAAGACAAAAGTCGTGTCGCTGTTTTGTCCGAAGATTAAATATAACTCGTGAAACATTATGAGAGCCCTACCACAAGGCAGAGCGCACCAAAAGTTTAAGCCCTTTGGCTTATGTTTTCACCAAATTTCATGACACAACTTTTGTCTTTCATTGTACATGTAATTACTAAATGTAAAAATTAACACTTACCAACACTGCAGGCGAAGAATGAAGCATCATAGTAGGTGACACAGAGGTATGGTAGGTGACACAGAGGTATGGTAGGTGATACAGAGGCTTGGTAGGTGATGCTGGTGGCCAGATATGCCGAGATTTTCCCAGGTAATTTTACATATCTTGGCATTTCCAGAGTTATACTACACATTCCAAGACCATATCCATGCCGAGTTATATGAAATTCCTAGTTATTAAATGCTGAATTATCGAGGGTTTACTGTATTGCATTTGTTGCCACCAACTGAATCTTGGGATTTTTTTTTTTTGCAATTAATAGCTTAGATAATTCTAAGACACTTTTCTTCTATGACGTTTCTAATGACGTAGAACTGAGTTTGCTATTTAATATGCCGGGAAATCTGAGGGCAGAGTCCCCTCTGGTTAGAGGTAGGTTTGGTTGGGTTAGGGTAACTTAATTAGTAATATGTGGTTGATAATACAATACAATATAGCATGCCCTTAAAATTCTTGGGGTTTTGGGTCTCAAGATCGCTGTGAATTGCCCAAACCGCGATATCATTTGCTGACGGGGGGAGGGGGGGGGGTACTTTTTTACTTGTGTGCAAAGAAATATATATTCCCTTTATGTGTTTGCCCTTAGGACAATTATTCCTTTTACTTGTATTGTATATGTGTAGCCACACATGCACATGCATGCACACACACACACTCACACACTCTACTACTCCTACTTTTTTTTTTCGTGGCTGCCATACGGCATCAAGAAAATTGTGACCAAGTCCCAGGTTGCTGATCTGACTTTCTGCCTCATTTACACACAATTGCAGGGTCTCAATTGTTTCTCTTACTTTGACAACACAACATACTTTACTTGTATTCAGTTGCTTTTTTCTCTCTCGGCACAAGATTTTAATTTTATTTATTAAGAGTGGTACTGGGTAACTAATGGTTTACAATTCCATGCTATGAATTTCCTTAGGAAAAAGTTAAAGAAGTAAGCTTGTTTCTTACATTTTTTAATATTAACACTTTAGCAGGCAGGGGTTGAGTAAAAATGTCTGGCGCTAGCCAGAATTTTTTTTAGGAATACAGTACTTTGCCCTCTAAAGGGTTAATAAAAACTTGGGGGAATTGCAGTTGTCTTACTTTTGTTTGTAATATCATTTCTTATGAGGTAATTCAACAAAATGCCCTGGTTACCAATACATGTACAGTATTGTGCTGTTTTATATTACAGTAGGGTTTGGATATATCGCGACTTTATATAAAGATTTTTTTGTATCGCGGCTTCCAAAATTATAAAAAAAATGTTCCTATATACAGTACAGCTACTCCTCGACTTACGACATACTCGACCTACGACCACCCGGACATACGACTGCCCCAGTTGTACCAAAATTTTGTCAAATTACGTATTTTTGAGTCCCAACGTTAGTGATTGCGCTGTATGCTGACAAAATTTTCGTTTGTAATTCACTTTAAAATGGCTGGCAAGCTTAAAAGTGAGAGTTTTGTGGTGCTGAGAAGAAAAAGAGACACCCATTTTAGATTTTCTATGTATTATCTTTGCATTTTCGACTTACTGTACGACCAATTCGACTTACGACCTGGATTTGGGTCCCTAACCCCGTCGTAAGTCGAGGAGTAGCTGTATAGCAATAAATTTTTTTATTTCGTGAGGGTAATCGGGCAGGAAGTATTTCAAATGTACTGCCATGGCAAACAAATGCGTTATTTGCTCACCAGAGGCGCCACTGGCTGCTCACTCACGCATTCACTCTTGCCTGCTCAGTCTTTCTGAGTGAGTGACGAGAAATCTGCCAAATCGGGTGCAGATTACGACTTCTAAGATGAGTGTAAGTGGGTTGCTAGTGATGTGAAAAGTGAAGTGAAGTTAATGGAAAGCTTAATAGAAAAGATTTAATACTGTAACTAATATTTTTGGTGTTCGTTTATGTAGGTGTGGGATTGTCAAGTGAGGGTGGCAGTGTGGCGTCTGCTGCCAAGTCTGGTGTTCCCAGGATGGTGCGTCAGCTGTCGAGTCTAGTGTTCCTGAGTCTGGTGTTCCTTGATACTGATACTGAAATAGCCTGTTGTTCCCGAGTCTAGTGTTCATTGGTGATGTAGTAAGTAAGAAAATGAACTCGTTAAATCAAGTTTAGTCACTTTTTTTGGCCTCTAGAACCTAACCCTATTTTCCCCATTGATTACATGTAATTATATATCGTGATTTAGTATATAGCGAACATCGTTGGACCCTATCTTGCGATATATCCTGACCCTACTGTACAGTACTGTATTTTGATTTTGTTATAAGTATTATTTAATTAGATCATTATTGTTTGAGTCATTTCATAAAATACCCTGTACTATTTCCAATACAAGTCCACCAAATATTAAGATATTTAAATATAATTATATATTATACATACATACACTACAGTATACTGTACATATTGGTCATCATGTGTTATCAGATATACGGTAAGTACTGTACTGTATGTACTGTACCATACACCACCATGAGCTAGCGTAAGCACATTTTATTCAAAACTGTTAATATACAGCATGCCCTTCAAATTCGTGGGGGTTAGGTTCTCAAAATGGCCTCGAATTGCCAAATCCGTAAATAACATTTGCTGACTGGGGTACGTTTTTACTTGTGTACAAAGAAATGTACAGTATACGGGGGGGTGGGGGTATTATCTTTGTGTTTGCCGTTAGGACAATTATTTCTTTTACCTGTGTTGTATTGAATTGATGTGTGTGCAGACACAAACATATATACAATACAGGTAAAGGAAATTACTGACTCTAGAACGAATGGCTCCCTGTCCCGGCCGTGAAAATGCCAGCAACTTTAAAGCTACCCGCAGAAATTCTTGGGTACATCCAGGGTGCCATCCGCAAATAATAGAGGACCGCGAATTATCCGGGCATACTGTATTGTATTTTATAAATTACCCTGTACAGTACTGTTTTGAATACAATCATGGATTAAAACCTCCACAATATTCATGCCAACTAGAGTGGAACTCCCACATGGTGAGCAGCTCGAAGGTTCTCTACGTGGGATTACTGTACTGTACAGCTGTACTCTCATGGGTTTTCAACCTATGGTACATCTAAGGTATTATATGAGGTTATCTTCTTAGCTTCATGCATGTATTATGTGTGAATACATTTTTCATCATATTTCTAAAAGGTGAGTTTTTTCTCATGGGGACAAGTTTTGTCAATGAACTCCATGAAGTTGACGAGGCTTTTAGGTGACTGGTTTGCCTTTAAAATATGCAATAAACGATAATGTGAAGTGGAGGAGGTGAGGTGGATACAGTAAATGTTTCTGAATTAACTCTGTTCGTTGAATTAAAATGTATGTACCCAACATTGACCAATTTGATATCTTTTTACAGACAAGATGGATGCCAGTAAAACACTGGGCATGACGTCAGCAATCAGCCTGGCTAAGCCCAAAACCTCAGACCTAGAGCACAGTAAGGAACTAGAAGAATATCTTCGAGATGCTGGGATGTTTGAAAGTGATGCTGAGTTAAATCACAGGTGAGTTTGTTTATATCTTTCCATCTTTCACAACAATATTGTCAAGATTAAAAGTTCACAGAGGAACTGAAAGAACAATTTAGAGACAGTAATATTTGAAACTGATGCTCAGTTAAATCACAGGTGAGCTTGTTTCTAAATCAGAAGAAGATCGCTGTTGTCAAACTACTGTCTGATCAGTTTAACATTAATTTAGGGAAAATTATTGGATGGAATGGATGTGAATTCAGTTTGAAATCACCTTTAGTAATGCAAGTTAATTAATGACTTTCAGGATGGTTTCACTAGAAGTCATTCTTGCCTGGCAAAATTATTATCATTCTACTGTACTCTACTGTATTCTAATAGTTACAGAAGTCCTTTGGTATGTTCACTTATAGAGAGATATTCAATGTTGGTACATTGTTTTAGAAATGGAAATGCTTTATGGATTTTAGTTTTGAGAAAATTTTTGGTGTAAATATAAGTGTTTATGTTTAGTGCATTATAATTACCGGTACTGGATACAGTATCACAGTACTGTACAGGGCATTAAGTTCTCATCCAAATTCACTTGATTCACTTTTTATTGTCCAGTTATTAGTTGTTTTTTTCTTTTCATTTTTAGTTCTTAAACTTTTGTACTTTACAGCTTTTCTGATATTTTAATAAATTCTCTTGCTCTTTTTCTACAGATTTGAGGTTCTGGGCAAGTTGAACACTTTTGTAACTCAGTGGATTAGAGATGTGAGCATAAACGTAAAGAACATGCCTCCCCAGGTTAGTCTTTCATCATTACACCTTTGGAATATTCACCCATTGCCTGTTTTGCCTTTAATATCTCTATATTTTCAGATAAGCAATTGATGAAATAACAGATTCGGGAAGTTGCTGAGTTTCATTGGTGTTGTGTTCTTACAAAATGAGATGTAATTAAGACCATCCTAAACAGGACACATTTTTCCTATACTCTTTAAGTATTATAGGTGGAGGATGTGTTCTCAGGCCAAATTTCTTGACCTAAATTAAATCACATAATAGAATATTGGAGAGAAAATGTAATAAATGATGATAATGTGTTTGGTGATGTATTCTTAGTTCTATAATAAGCTTTAAAAGTACAGTATGTACTGTATTCTACACATAGTATATTTATGCATACAGTACATTTAAGTACATGTGCAGTTTGTATTTATGTACAGTATCTCGAAAAAGTATCTGCCAGGATGGGTCTGATGACTTCCGAAATGCTACATGCAACTCTTGATGTCTCGGGGGGGATTGGTATGCAAGACTTTGTGGTATACTAATCTTACTACATTTGGTAATCAAACATCATATTAATTATGCTAAAATAAATACACATTGCATTAATAATGTTAAACTATATATCAAAGTAAATCCATGTCCCAATATCTATCATCCGTGGTCTCATAATGTTTCACACACTGTGGACAGATACTTTTTTGAGATACTGTACAGTTTTGAGATACAGTACTGTACAGTTTTGAGATACTGTAAATTACATAGTAGGTAGCTACCAAACAGGGAGGTACTACCGCCTGGGAAAATATTGGAAGCATAATATATTGTCTAATGGTAGACCCTGCTACTATATGGCATCACAAAAATTGTGACCAAGTCCCAGGTTGCTGATCTGACTTCTGCCTCATTTACACACAATTGCAGGGACACAATTGTTTCTCTTACTTTGACAACACAACATACATATATTGTTTCTCACAATTGATTTTTTCATTTTTGTATTTCTTTATAGGTCTTTATTATCATTATTACAGTGTTATTATTTTTATCATTATTATTTTATGAATTTATTTTTATGCTAAATTTTATTTACTATGAATGAGTATTATTTATTATTATTATTATTATTATTATTATTATTATTATTATTACTACAACAGTATTACCCCGCTTTACGCGGTTTTCTTTACGCGTTTCCATGTTTACGCAGTACCCTGCCAGACCCGGAATGCTCACTTTACGCGGTGCATGTACTCTTTTACGCGGAGAGCGGTGCGGGCAGGGTGCGCACAAGGTCGCCCAGTCATCAAAACATTACCGAGTTCTTCACCCGCCACCCACCACAGCCGGCCCAAGTCAGTGATAGTGATAATGAGGATATGGACTTATATGGACTTTGAGGGGTTTGACAAAGAGGCCCTGTCAGCCTCTGTGGTGGATAGTGATACAATTGGTACAAGTGACACAGGTGAGGGGCCAATAATCTGCCCTCTGCCTCGGAACCAACCCCCCATCCCCGTGTGCCCAGCCATCTTTTCTACTAATGTAAGTGTTAAAAAACCTAATATTATTGATATTTCTCTTAATTATTAATTGTGTGTGCATGCCATCATAAAATTAAGAAGTTATTTTTACTACAACGTAGGTATTGTGTCTGAAAAAGTGGAGTTTGGGGGTCGGCCCAGTCTCTATTTCAATTAATCCCACATGTTCTGTTGTTCACTTTACGCGTTTCCCGCTTTACACGGGCCTCTGTGGGTTCAACTGACCGCGTAAAGCAAGGTTTCACTGTATTATCATTATTATTATTATTATTATTATTATTATTATTATTATTAAATTTTTGCCCCCAGGCTCTGATGTGGGTCAGTGACTTGAGCCCGGGTGGGCTAATCCCCGTTAAAAAATAAGTAAATAAATAAATAATTAATAATAATAATAATACTTAGTATATATATATATATATATATATATATATATATATATATATATATATATATATATATATATATATATATATATATATATATATATATATATATATATATATATATATATATATATTCACATACACAGTATAGTCTGTATTTACGCAGTCAATTGAACCCGTGGAGGCCCGGCAAAACGAGAAACACATAAACGAAATAACAGAACATATAG